TTTTCGGAAACACACCCAAACTATATGAGAGGAAGTCGTCCCACCCTTATTTCTAGAGAGCATTCTGGCTGGACTTCTTCCAAGATCATTCACCACCACCATAATTCACATGTATCGATTCTGTTCTGGTGTTCCTTATTCTAGGCCTACTTTTCGCAGGCATATAACCATGGCTTGTGTCTTGGAAGTGACAGCTGTACTTTTTACAGCACATTTGCCCAATGCAATATGTCATTTGATTTCCTAACTGATGCTTCTATGAGTATTGATGATGGATCTAAAGAAAATCCTTGATAACTCCAATCATTTCTCTATTTATCATGATGTACCTCATTGATCCAGTTATGAGGATTATTGTTTTATAATAATTTAGTACAATTTATACTAAAGGCAGAGTCTTATCTTCATCAGTAAGTACTTCTCAATCTTCTTTACTCTAAGAAGGCAAGACTGTATTATCTGTAGATTTCAGATAATAGTGAGTGGCTGCCCAATCCTGATTCCCTATTGGTCATATAGTTCAGCTTCTCTGTTTTGTTGCTCAGCACACAGTGTGATGAAAGGACACAACCCTGCTGCACACCTTTCTTGATTTTAAATTATTCAGTATTCCCATGTCCTGTTTGATTGACTGCCTCTTGGTTTACATACAAGTTCATGGTAACTAAGTCATTTTTTGGCCTTTCTTGGCTTGTAGATATGTTCTTACATGGTGCCTTCCTTCCCTGTGTGTCATATTCTCTCCATTCTGATATCCTCTTTAATAAAACATCACTTAAAGGGATCAGTATTAAGACACACAACTCCAATATGACTTTATTTCATTTAAATAAGACAAAAGAAAAGCCATACTTCCAAATAAAGGCCCAGTTATGTGTCTAGGGATTCAGACATGAGCCTATCTTTTTGAAGGATGCAAGTCTACCCATAACAATCAGGGCAGATATTTTAGGGACCAACCAAAACCCAAACCAAACCCATTGTGATTCATTTTACAGTGACTTCATAGGATTCACTGTCCCAGTGAATATGCTGAATTTCAGTGTGACTTGGGCAGGTGCCAAGTAACAGCTTTGATAAAAGCAGTCATAATTCTTCATGTAACATACTATTGCTCATATATGTTTTATGTGACAGACTTCCCATATATGTTTTATCAAATTGTCACCAGAAACAAAGTCATTTCCACGATGGAAACCTGGTGTCAGCCAAGGTTGAACCAGCAGGCTAGGAAGTAAAACTGTTGTTCATGAACACACATTTATTAATAGTTTTATTGGTATATAATTCACATTTACAATTCAGTACTTCAGTCACGTTAGGAATCATATAATCATCATTCCATTCAGTTTTAGAACATTTTCTTCTTACTCGTACTCATTCTTATTAGCTCCCCATATCTCCCAAACCTCCCCTGCCAAACCCCCAAGAAACCATTAATCCAGTTACTCTCTCCATAGCTACTCTCTCCTGGGCTTCATATACGGAAAAACAGTTTTTAGAAAACAAAAACACAACAATGAAAAAGTAAAACAGAAAAACTTCAAATGAAAAAAATGCAAAAAAATATTAAAAACTAGAACAAATTTAAAGTGGGTCAAAAGGAAGGACAAATGATAAGGTATGACATTTTAACCCAGTTAAATCTCCATAACCCACTCAAATGCACCCTCTGATAGCAAGACTATTCGCATCCCTAGTCTATGGTCAGAGAGGATTCACAGGAGGATTAATCCATGTGTATTTCCCCTTTTTTCCGCTAACGGAAACAACTCTAAAATAGGTAAAAAGGGGGATCAAATGATAAGATTCCACATTTTAACATAACTGACATCTTCCATAATCCACTTTACAATGCTCTCTGCCTGATAACAAGGCCATTCACATCCCTCAACTGTGGTCAGAGGAGAGTCAACAAAGGCTTAATTCATGTATGAACCCTGCAAATGGATTTTGGGTTTCCACTGCCATCTACAGCCTTCTGCAAACCAGGAGTTCACATTTTAAGCTCTGGTACCATTCCTTCATTCTGTTTGGATTGTAGGAGGCATAAAAAAGAAAAGAAAAAGGCTCTGTCGGGTGTAGCTATCTTGTTACGCATTTTTCCCGTGAGGCGAGCATCAAGCAACCCCCTCTGAGTTAGTGTACCCAGTGGTGTCACCTGGGAAGGTTCCCTCTGGCCAATGTGAATGTTTTTGGAAAAGAGTTTCAGTCAAACCTTGTTTTTTGTGATGGCCAATTTAAGACAACAGTGTGTGGCTGTGAAATTTTGTTTCCTGCTTGGGCAAAACGCTGCAGAAACTTTTATTTTTGAGCACAGCTTACAAGGACAGCGCTATCGGAAAAACTCAAGTATATGTGTGGCTTTCTCATTTCAATAAAGATGAAATGTGGATTGATGACAAACCTCATTCCAGACGTCTGTCAACTTCCCAAATGGATGAAAACGTTGACTCATAGTGCATTTGGAGTTCATTCCACCAGGTCAGACTGTTAATCAGACTTCCTATTTAGAGGTTCTGAAAAGATTGCATAACAGTGTGCAACAAAAAAGGCCTGATTTATGACAGACAGGGCGCTGGTTTTGCTAACCAACAGTGCACGTGCTCATGCAGCTATCTCAGTGCACCAGTTTTTGGCAAAAAGGACATGCCTCTTTTGCCCTATGCATTTCACTCACCTGACCTCACTCTGTGCTACTTCTTTTTGTTTTCGTGAATGAAGAGGGACATAAAAGGACAGCGATTTGATGATGTAGAAGAGGTGAAGAAAAAAGAAGGGATGTGCTGTCAGCCATCCAAACAGATGAATTTGAAAAAAATGTTGCCTAGAATGGAATCGCAGATTTGATAAATGTAGTAAGTGTAAAGGAGAATATTTTGAAGGTGATAAGATTGTTTTGTAAAAACAATAATTAAATACATAGCTTTGGGGGGGAATTCCATTTGGTGGGGGTACCCCCCTCATATTATTTATAATCCTTTAATTACACGGGCTGGTGTATTTCTTCCATGTAGAGTTGATGCCTCGCTTAGATGTCTACTTACTTGAAAACAAGACTTTTAAGACCCCAGACACTACTCCCAGATAGCCAGGACCATCTCATTTCTTGGCCATGCTTCGCTGTAGCACCCATATCTTCAGGGATGTCTTATGAGGAGCAGCATCAACCAAGGCCATGTCATGAGATTTAATTTTCCTTAGATTGGGGCTAGAAGTAAGCATAAGCATGCATTTTTGTTTCCTGTTAGCCTTTTATGATTTTCCCTCCATTAGAACTGCCCTTACTATTCGTTTCAATCTGACCTTTCTTGCATATGATAAGAAGTTATATAGTACAAATTACCTTGAACTTCTACTCCACACTTTTATAGACTTTCCTACGGTTGGTAATATTTTCATGAAATTTCTTTTGCAGGGTTTATTTTGGTCTGTGAATATGATTCTCCCATTTAGAGATTTAGAGAAGTGAACTTTCTGGATTTAAATCATTGTAGTGCTACCCACACTCAAAACATCTGCACGGGAAACCAGTGTTTTCTGCAGAAAGTAATAAGTAGAATTCATATCATTTTCAACAAGCAGAGTCGCTTCTTTGGGAATGCCTTATGATGTCAGTTGTATGATCCCTTATCAGTGCGTGATGGTTTCCGCGAAGGAGTGTGCCATGAAGCCTTCCAGACATCTAGTCGTCCACCCTGAGCTCCATTCCTGACTGCGTCTGTGACTCTTTCCCACGGTTGCTTGTAAAGGCCACTTTCTTCTGGCTTTTCTTGTCTCCTGGTGAACAGATCTTTCCTCCTTCCTGGTTTTTCACCTCTGGTAATTCCAAGCCTTTCTCTCTCTTTACCTGGTTAGTACCTTTTCCTGTGAGTCGTGGGAGGCAGCCTATAAATCTTTTCTAACTTACAAGCACTCACTCTCACGTGTCCTCTATTGGCATTCTTGGCCACACACACAAAAAGATGTTGATTGGCATATAGCTACATAGAGTAAGCTGCTGCATAGGATGCATTTCTGAGCTTTCATCGAGTTGCCCAATGTTCCGGAGCTTCAGACTTCTGTTTGAATGTGGTTGGGGTATGCAAGTTTTAAGTTATAGTATTCTTTATATGGAAATAGAAACTGGTCACGTGAAATTATTTCATCGGAAATATACATAAGCATATATATATATACACATGCTTTATGCCCGTGTTTCTTTTAAGAATCCAGAAATTGTACCGACCTGTTAAGAATGTTGTCTGTCTTCAAAAAGAATAGCAATTCAATTTTCCACCGTAAAGTATCTAACATTATTATAAATTAGAAGTTTGTCATGTTTGTGATATTTAAAGAAGTTTACAGGTTTGTAATTCCTTTTGAATTGATTAAAAAATGAAAATATTTTCAAATTATGAACTGACAGATCTTTTCTATATTAATTTTTAATTATCAAATAATCTTAACTAACATTTATTGACCATTTACTCTGTACCAGGCATTATTCTACGATAACTATGGAGGAACACACCTGGTTGTCACCACAAGGCAGAGAACTGTTACCACTAGTAAGGACAGAGTCTGAATTTTAACTCCAAGCCCCCAATCTTAATGGCTCCTGTCTAGTACCTGACAAATAAGCAGTTTACTTCTCAGACCATCTCCTTGATGCGACTAGAACCTAGCGAATAATATTAATTGTCTCCAGTTTGTATTTTGTGTTACAGATTTTTTGTAGCCATGCAACATAGGAGTTCAGTGTAGTTGTACATGTGGGCTCTTCACTAGTCTACCAACTTAGCCCACCAAAAGAGCCTTTTTAAAGCAATAATGGAAAGTAAAATGAAAAGTCTTTGATCGTAAAGTTAGATTATTGCTGTAAACATTTTAAGTGAAAGTTTACTTAAGGCAGTGATTTCACCATAGTTAATATCTTTGAAATGCCTTTTCCCCTTAGATTGACAATTTGTGACAATGCCTTGTGTTGATTCTTCCTTGTGCACCATTCTGTGACCTAGATTTCCTTGCTGAAACAGAATCTGGAGATGCAGCTTTGCCAGTCACAGACTTCTTTGCAGCAACTGCAAGCCCAGTTTACACAAGAACGACAGCGGCTTACCCAGGAGCTTGAAGATTTAGAGGAGCAACATCAACAAAGACACAAGTCCTTAAAAGAGGCGCATGTCCTTGCATTTCAAACTATGGAGGAAGAAAAAGAGAAGGAGCAAAGAGTAAGTTTCTTGTTGAGTGATCAAATGTATCCCAACACCCCAACAATTAATTAGCCTTCACAGTTATGACTCTTGTTCAAATAAATTATATATGGATTTATTTAATAATTTTTTCAGTTGTAGCCTCTGGTAGGGATGGTAGTGATGAACTGTATATCCTAATTAACACTAGCTGTCTAATTAGACTAAGACCAATGTTTGTTTAAATGCTAATGTCAAGTTCATGACAAAACTAATAACCAATAAGGCTGTGATGATTAAACTTAGTTAAACCTTTTTGTGTTGTTCTACTGATCTAAATCAGGCTGATTAATACTATCTAATCTTTCATCAATTCAAAAATGTTTTTTTCTCTTCGAAAAGTGATCTACATAAAAGCAATATATGCGAAGAGCACCTTTGGGACTATATACATAAATACATCATTGTTGTTGCTATGTGCCATTGTTGATTCCAATTCATGGTGACCCTATGTACAGCAAAATGAAATGTCACTCGGTCCTGCTCTATCCTCACAAAGTTGTTATGTCGCAGCCACCGCGTCAAACCACCTTATCCAAGGTCTTCCTCTTGTTTGTTGCTCTTCTTCTCCTTTACCAGGCATGATGCCCTTTTCCAGGGACTGGTCTCTCCTGATAACATGTCCAAAGTATGTGAGAAATCTCTCCATCCTTTTAAGAAACATTCTGGTTGTACGTCCGAGAGAGATCTGTTTGTTCTCTGGGACATTTATAGTACAGTACTTTCAATATTCCGTACTAGCACCAAAATTCAAATGCCTCCATGCATTGATTCTGCTTCGGTCGTCCTTTTTGGTGTTCACCTTCCACATGCGTACAAGGCCACTGAGAATGCCCTGGTCTGGGTCCGGTGCTCTTTGCTCCTCAGAGTGACGTCCTTGCTCATCAGTATTTTAAAGAGGTCTTGTCCAGCTGATTTACCCAATGTGCTCTTTCATCTCTTGACTGCTGCTTCCAGCTTCCATGGGCACTGATTGTGGATCTGAACAAGATGAAATCTGTAAAACTTCAAGCTTTTCTCTGTTTATCACAATGTTACCTGTTGAACCAGTTGTGAGGATTGGGGTTTTATCTACAATGAGTGAAGACTACACTCCTTGATCTTCATCAGCAAGTGTTTCAAGTCCTCCTCACTTTCAGCAGGCAATGTTATTAATAAGCCTTCTTCCAATCTTTTAGATATTAATTTTAAATTCTCAAATTAGCTAACTTTTATTGAACATTTACTCTGTCAGATATTAGCCACTGCAAGGACAGTGAATTATTGAATGTGGCTCTTCTAGCCAGTGTCTCTAACTACCACCTAATAACCTTTCCCTGTGTGAGTGTGGTAAGAAGGTTTGGGAAGATACTGGAAGATTCACTTGAGAATAATTGTTTACAGGATTCCCTGGAATTCCATCCTCTGTGTATAAAATGAGTCCTTTGTGAAGCAGGAGGAGAGATCTCATTACCAACAAGAGCCAGGAGTGGAGCATGTCCCCTGGGCCTAAGGACCCTACACAGTGAACCTCCTGGATCCAGATGGCAGCTACAGTGTCAGAGGGGCAGCATGAGAACCAGGAGGCAGAGCCTGGACCAGAATGTTGGATTGCCCAACCCACAGAGCTGATAAAGGCTGAGTGCTTTTGTGCAGGAGGCTGGCTTGTGGAGTAGGGTGCCTCTGGGCACTTACGTAATTCAGGGAGCTAGGTTTGCTGTCCCAAGGAGCTTGGGCTGAATGCCTAAGGGGTGAGGCTTCCATCAGAGTGGTATTTTCCTTTGGGCATTTATTCGCAGACCTGGAAGAGCTTTGTTAACTTGTCCTGATAAACAGCTCAGCCCCTGAGTGTTTCTCACTGGTATCACAATTTGTGCACTTCCTTAATGAACTCTTTAACCACTCATTTTGTCTGTGAGTTCTGCGTAGCCCTTGAAATGGATATTAGGATCTAGAGATCAAGTAGAAAATATTAATTCAGACATTACACCAGTTGTGAGGATTTTGGTTTTCTTTACATTGAATTGTAATCCACACTGAAGGCTACAATCCTTGATTTTCATCAGCAGGTGCTTCAAGTCCTCCTCACTTTCAACAGTAAGGTTGTTAATAAGATTTCTTCCAATCCTGATGCCATGTTATTCATACGTACAGTCCATCTTCTGAGATTATCTGCTCAGCATATGGATGGAATAAGTATGATGAAAAGATATACAACCCTGATTCACATCTTGATTTTAAATCAAGCAATATCCCCTTCTTCTGTTAAAATGACTGCCTCTTGATCCATGTACAGGTTCCACACCAGCACAACGAAGCATTCTGGAATTCCTGTTCTTCTCACTGTTAACCATAATTAATTATGATCCTCACAGTCTAATGCCTTCTCACAATCAATAAAACACAAACATCTTTCTGGTATTCCCTGCTTTGAGCCAAGATTCATCTGATGTCTTGAAATATACCTCTTTTTCCACACCTCTTTCTGAATCTGACTCAAATTTCTGGCATCTCCCTGCCAATATACATACATACATTAAAAAAATAGATTTATATTTTAGAATATATTTTTCTTTGTCAATTTGTTCGTTCTACTTATGAAATTAAATTGGAAACATTTTAATGGTGCAGTTCCCTTATACACAGTCCCAAAGGCTATGGAAATAGGGTCAATAACAGCAACTCAGATGGAAAACAGTTAAATATATTGGGTTGATCATTTTATATGCCCAAATAGCTCCATGCTTAGTTCAGAGTTAAAACTGTCAGTTTTCCAGGATTTTAGTGTGATTCATTTTGTTCATTTCACAGCGCTCTAATTTTTTAAAATTTCTCCTAAAAATGTTATAATTACAGTAAAAATCTAATGGCAAAACAGCTTTTCCCATCTACACCTACTCCTTACTTGTTTACTGGCTTACTATCTGATGTTTCACAGATACCACAATTGTGAAAATCTGTCCAAGGCTTTTCACGTGAACAACATACATCTGGCAGTATAGAATGTCAAAGTACAAGGCACGAGTAGTGGTTGGCTGTAGTGGTTAGGGTTATCTGTCCACTTGCGGGGCCAGGATTCTCAGTGGTTTGGCAGATGTGTAATGATGTAATTTACCAGTTGTGTAATGATGTCATCTTTCATTTGGTGATCTGACTCCATTTCGCACAATGCCAATTTAATGATATTATCATTGGAACCTAACCGTGTCATGATAAGTGAGGAGTGGGTGTAGAGCCATTACCAATTCAGATTGCTTCTTAGTTCTTTAACTTAGGTGTAAACACTATTTTAAAAAAGGGTATTTTTATAATTGAGTATGTATGGATTGTGATAAAAGTTGTATGAGCCCCCAATAAAATGATTGATTAAAAAAACTCAAAAAAAACCCCATGAACTAAATACTAATTATTTACCCTTCTTAAAGAAAACTAAACCTTCTACAGTAATGATTAAAGAAATGCAACTCAAACTACAGTATATCTTTCTCAGAAATCTTTCATGCTATACACTTTATGTTTGTGAATACCTTGTTGGCAAAACCCAACTTTTTAATACCCTGAACTCTATTTTCTCTTCTATAATTGTGGAGCCACTCTTCAATGTAGCACTGGCTCCTGCTTTATGGCTAGCCTTTAAATTAATCACACTTTTGGAATTTAGTTTCCTTGTCCAATTACCTATTCAAGAGCCTTTGCTTCCGTTCACGTGTCCAGGAGCAAAGAACAACTGGTAAAATAGATACAAAATATCTTATATGGCTGGAGTTAGAAAGGTTTTCATTTTTTCCCAGTCTGAAAGAAATCTTTTCTTCTTAATGTATTCTTCTTTCCTCTGTCTAATTCTGTGTACACAAAGGAATTATTAGTTTATACTCCTTAGCAGCTTTAGAAAATAACTTTTATTTGAAAATGCTATAGGTAAAAGGTCTGTGTTTCCAGTTAAAACAAAAGGCATCGAATTAATTTGGTTTGATTCTATTTTCTTTTCTGATAATGATTATGTTATATCTACTTGTCTTAAAAATGCCTTGTATTTCTCTAATCATGAGTTTTAGTTAGTGTTTTCTATTTTGCATTTTCCTTCCTATATTCTAGCATAATAATTTGGATTTATTTTTCCTGTTCTAGGCTCTTGAAGACCATTTACAACAAAGACATTCTGCAGAGCTTCAGTCATTGAAAGACGCACACAGAGAGTCGATGGAGGGCTTCCGGATAGAGATGGAACAGGAACTGCAGACTCTGCGGTTTGAGTTAGAAGACGAAGGAAAGGCGATGCTTGGTATTGTGGAAGAATTGTAATCTGGCTGTAGTTAGCTGTCCATTCTTCCATTCAAATTCACAAAGGTTAATGTGGAGTCCTGAAACACCAAAGTGAATATGTATGTGTGTCGCATCTTCTATATAAAGTTACCGTATGAAGAGGTGGATTTGGTGAAGTGGAATGAGTAGAACGCAGACAATCAAACTGTCTGCTCAGCGTCCACGGTGCTGTGCACGCAACATCTGTGACGCCTCTGGAAGCAGATAGCTGCCAAGCAATTATCACAGATTTGTGGATAACCGTGCTGCCACTCCAGGTGCTCCTAGTCAGATGCAGGTCGCCTCTGCAGAGCGTTGGCCAGAGGGGCACACACGTCCACAGCTGTGTGAGGAGAAGTGAATCAAGTGTCAGCGCAGCTGTTTCAGTCCGTCCATTTAACCCTCTTTATGAGCCAAACTTGACTCAATGGCAGTGAGTTGAGTTTTGGTTGATGAAAGGACTTTCCTGCCATGTAAAAATATAATTTATTTGAGATAGTTATCGATTTATGGGTAGTAGTAAGAAATTATGTGGAATTCCCCAAGAATAACATTGTTCAAGTCTATATAGTACAGTATCACCTCAGGTTATTGACATTCATCCAGTCAAGAGTTTTCTACGCTTTTTGTTGTGCATTAGGTGAAGGTGTACAGAGCAATCACATTGTATATGCAGCTCTGCATACACATTCTATTTCCCCTGCTCCTCAATGTACCCTGCTCTTTGTGTGTCGCACTCGCTCCCTGTGTTTCCCATTTCCGTTATTCTTCCTTTTCTAATCCTCTGACCTTTGTCCTTGGGGGAATGCCCCGCTTTTAAATCATAAATGCCTGATTCTTCTAACACGACGGTGAATACACTTTCAAAGTCAAAGGGTGTTTAAGGGTCAGTCTTGGGATCTCATTAAGCACTCTCCGGCCCAGTACGCCAAGTCTCTTTTATGATTTAGAGTTCTGTTCCACACTTTTCTCCCACTCAATCCAAAACCCTCTAATGTGATCCTTTTCAGAAAAATTGGTAGGGGTTCTTGAGCAATATCTAGTAATTTTGGTCTGAGGCTGATAAAGACTGATATTAGCCTGATCCTTTAGTCGAGGTGTAGGCATTGACCCAATGGCAGTGAGTGTGTTTGGTTTTTGTTCTCTACCACTGGACTAAGCGTTTCCATATGTCTTTTAATTTTCAACATGCTTCTTTGCTCTAGATAGGGAAAGGCCAATAGTTTCACCCTAAATGGTGGCTCATCAAAGTACAATGTAGACCAGTGGGTCATGACCCCTTTGGAGGTTGAACAACCCTTTCACAGGGGTTGCCTAAGACCATTGGAAATATGAGTGAGGCACCGATCCTCTATCCGTCTCCAGGGGGGTCCGCCCACATGCAGATATGCCCACATTCAGGGTCACCACAGTGTGAGGAACTGTATTAAAGAGCTGCGGCATTAGGAAGGTGAGAACCACTGGTGCAGACTCTTGTCTTTATGAACTACTGAATGCCAGCAGCGCATTCCTTCAAGGCGTTTGGTTGTATCTAAGAAGTTTTCTTAACTTTGCCCCTTGAAGTATGCTCCATGACACTCATATATGAGGGGGTATTCCCCCCCCAAAAAAACAGAATTTCTTCCCCCAAAGCTGTGTATTTAACTTTTGTACAAAACAACCTTATTACCTTCAAAGTACTCTCCACTACACTTAATACATTTGTCAACTCTGCAATTCCATTCTTGGAAACATTTTTCAAACTCGTCTGTTTGGATGGCTGACAATACCTCCCTCATTTTTTCTTCACCTCTTCCAAATCGTCAAATTGCTGTCCTTTCATGTCCCTCTTCATTCACAGAAACAAAAAGAAGGCACACAGAGCAAGGCCATGTAAGTATAGTTTGCATGGGGCAAGAGAGGCATGCTGTTTTGCAAAAAAACTGGTGCACTGAGATGGCTGTGTGAGCAGGTGCATTGTTGTGGTGGCAAAATCAGTCCCATCTGCCACAATTCAGGGCTTTTTTTCTTGCACAGTTATGCATTCTTTTCAGGACCTCTAATTAGAAAGCCTGATTAACAGTCTGGCTTGGTGGAACAAACTCCAAATGCACTATGAGTCAACATTTTTGTCCATTTGAGAGATGACAGATGTCCAGAACGAGGTTTGTCATCAATCAACATTTCACCATGTTTGAAAGGAGAAAACCACTTGTGCACTTGAGTTTTTCCCATAGTGCTGTCCTTGTAACTTGTGTTCAATATCACAACAGTTTCTGTGGCATTTTTCTCAAGCAGGGAACAAAATTTCACAGCTGCATGCTGTTCTCTTAAATCAGCCATCACAAAAAACGAGGCTTGAACGAAACTGCTTTTATGAAAAAATTCACTGGAACCAGAGAGAACCTTCCCAGGCAACGTCACTGGGTGCACTAACTCTGAGCAAGTTGCTGGGTGCTCACCTAAGCAGGAAAAACCCGTACTGTGAAAGCTGGGCTCCAGCCAGCACAATTCTGGTTTTATTGGATCCCCCTCGTAGTGGGGGGGGGTATACAAAACAGAACATTTTCATCACCCTCATGTTACCATTTTATGGCAACCTTCATTCCCCTCTCCTCCCCCTTTTCACTGTTTGCGACCACGAATCTATTCTCCATTTCTATAATTATACCAAATTCTAAAATTTTAAAGAATTGTATATAAATGATGGAATTATGCAGTATATAACCTTATAGGACTTTTTACATTCATCATAATTTTATACAGTTTCATCTAAGTTGTAAAAATCAATAGTTCGTTTTTGTTGCTAAGTAGTGTTCTATGTGGTCAGTGTTCCACAGTTAATTCTGCCTTAAATTCTGAAGCTCTCCTCTAGTTTGTGTTTAGTGTTTTAACACTGTATAGTTTTGTATCTTACATTTAAAGTTAATTTTTGAGTCGGTTTTTTTTTTAGGTGGGAGGCTTAGGTCCATGTTTAATATTTGTTTGTTTGCTTTGTTTATGGATAGCCATTTGCTCCAGCAACACTTGAAAAAACTTTTTGTTCTTTGCCTTTAGCCCATTGTCAAAATAAGTTGTGCATATTTGCATGGATCTGCTTCTGACTTTACTCCTCTGTTCCATTGATCTGTGTCTGTCTCTCCACCACTAACACATAGACTGTAGCCATATAATAAATTTGGAGATCAAGTAGAATGACCCCCTTTTTTGTTTCATATTACTCTCAAATTTACTGCCATTCCGACTCATAGCAACAAATTGCTCTAACTAGGCTAATTACTTTGCCTTTCCAAATAAACTTTAGAATAATTTCTCCTGTATTTGGAGAAATAGAGAAATGCATGAAACTTCTGTATCAATTGGGGATAATGATACATTTAGTCTGCTGAGTAAGACAGAATCTTCCAGTCCGTGAAAATGGTCTATCCCTCCATTTATTTGATCTTTGATTTCTTTCATCAATATTATCAGCATTTAATCCTGTATATGTCTTATTAAATTTATATCTAAAAATTTCTCCTTTGGGCGGGTAGGATGAGTATCAATGATATCTTTAATTTCAGTATTTATCCTTTGCTAATTTATAGAAATACAATTTATTTTTTTATGTTTATTTTTTCTGCGACCATTCTGGTCATTTATTAATTCTGATCGAGTATGGCCCTTATTTCCTTTTCTTGTCTTCTTGTCAGCACTATTTTAAATAAGAGTAAGGGAGGGAACACTCCTGTCGGGCACTTGATCTTAATTGGAAAGCATTGTGCCTTTCATCATTATGTATAAGGTTAGCTATAGGATTTGTTAACTTCCTTGTCAGGTTGAGGAAGCTCCCCTCTATTCATACTTTTCTAGTTTTTATTGTTGAATTTTGTCAAATGCTTTTTTGGTATTGATTGATATGGTCATATATTTTCTTTTTCTTTTTTGACTGCTGGCATAGGGGGTTACATTGATTAATCTTTGAATGCTTCTGAACCAACTTTGCATCTCACCTGACTGCATGCATAATTCTTAATACTCATTGCTGAGTTCTCTTGACTAATACCTTGTGAAGGGTATTCACATCTAATCATTGCTGATATTGATCTTTGGTGTTTGCTGATGTGGTATTCTGTGTAATTTTGGTATCAGGGTTACATGTGCTTATCAAATGAGTTGAAATATTCTCTCCTCCTGTTTTCTGCAAAAGACTCTGGTAGAATTTTCTCATAAAACCATCTGGCTTGGAGATTTGTTTTTAGTTTTAAATTATTAATTCTGTTTCTTTAGTAGTTAGGAGGATATTCAAATTTATCTATTTCATATTGGATGAATTCTAGTTTGTGATGTCAGATATATAATGAGCTTTCTTAGTGTTTTTTTAAATCATTTGATTAGGGGCTCGTACAACTATCACAATCCATACATACATCAATTGTGTAAAGCACATTTGTACATTCATTGCCCTTATCATTCTCAAAACATTTGCTTTCCACGTAAGCCCCCGGCATCAGGTCCTCATTTTTTCCCCTCCCTCCCCACTCCCCCAGTTTTTTTTTACTGTCCATTTAATGTGTGCAATATCTGTAGCGATAGACCTGATTTCATTTTCAATATTGATATTTTGTGTCATCCTCTTCTTTTTTTCCTTTTTGTCAGAGATTTGTCAATTTTATTGGTGTTTTCAAAGAGCTAGCTCTGTGTTTCTTTGGTTTTTCTCTATAGTATTTCTTTAAAATATTATTAATTCCTATTCCTTATTATTTCCTTTCTCTGTTTACTCTAGATTTAGTTTGTTCTTTTTCAAAATCCTTAAAATGGGAACTTAGATAATTGATTTGAGACTTTCTTTTCTACAAAAAAATTATTTAGTGTTATAAATTTCTCTTTCAGCATTGCCTTATTGGGTTCCATAAATTATGATATGTTACAGTTTCATTTTCATTCTTTAATGTATTTTATAAATTTCCCCATGGATCATTCAGAAGATTGTGACTTTACTTTGCAAATATTTGGAAATTGTTTTACTGTTATTCTGTTAATGATTGCTAGTTTGATTCCATTGTGGCTGATGTATGCATTCTATGATTTCAATTATTTAAAATTTGTAGAGGCTTATTTTAGGGTTCAACTTGTTATCTATTTGGTACATGGGCACTTGAAAAGTGTGTGTGTTCTGCTTTTGTTCATTAGAGTGGTCTTTAATTATTAATTAGATCCTATTGATTGATGCTATTGAGTTCCTTTGTATCCTTGAGGATTTTCCTTGTAGATGTTCTATCAGTTATTGAGAGAGGAATGTTAAACCCCTTAACTATGATTCTTGCAGCCTAACCTTTGTATGTTTTTGCAGCTCTGTTGTTTATTGCTTGGTGAATATCTATATATAAGATTGCTGTGTATTTTTGAGAGATTGATCTTTCCATGTTGTTCTGTATCTCTGGTAATGTTCTCTGTTCTGAACTCTGCATGGGTATAGTTATTGTTGTTTGCTGCTGTTGAGTTTGCTGACTCAAGGCGACCACGTGTAAAACGGAATGAAATGTCGCTCCATTCCCTGCCATCCCCGTGATTGCTGGTCGGCTCAAGTCCATTGTGGCAACCACTGTGTGTTTTGAGTGTCCTCCAATCTAGCAGGCTCATTTTCTGAAGCTGTACAGAGCAGCATTCTTTGTGATCCATAGGGTTTTCCTTGCCCAGTTTTCAGAAGTAAATGACCAGTTCTTTCCTCCTAGTCTTAGTCTGTAAACCCTGCTAAAGCCTACCCATCCCAAGTGATTGGTTTGTGTTTGAAATACTGATGGCCTGGATTCCAACATTAGAGTCACAAGTAAGCCACCATAGTACAACAAGCTGACAGATTTATGGTAGACAATAATTTCTTTTTAAACATTTTATTAGGGGCTCATACAACTATTATCGCAATCCATACACACATCAATTGTGTAAAGTACATTTGTACATCATTCTCAAAACCTTTTCTCTCTA